AAAATGATTTTTTCCATCCCCCTCAACATACCATGTATTTTGATAACACTCGATTTGTGAATTCCCTTTCACATATTACAAAATAGAGTCCCTGTCACTACAGAACATGTCCGGTACCTTTATATATGCATTTAGTTTAACATTTTAAGTCCCTCCTTTTTTACATATTCTGCACAAAATATACTTTCTGCCCCGCCCCATTCATAAAATTCAGCGGGAAATTCTGTGAGGGGTGAGTGATTTTGTGTGCAGAATGTGTAAAAAATAAGGGACTTCGAATATTAACCTAAATGCATATAGGGTAGATGTTCCAGTAATAGTGGAGTTATGCTGCAGCATAGCAATACAGAAGTTCTGTTTACCGGTTTCCAGGTAAAATATATGTACGTTAGATGTTTCTTAATGTTGGCTTTGATAATATACCAAAAAACTGTCAATCTGTGTGTAAAAAACCAGAAAATGAACTTTTTTCGATAAAAGCCTGCGTTCCTATAGTTGTGGCAATGTTCCTATAATAGTGCAAAGTGTTCCTATAATAGTGGTATATCCAATTCACTTATAGACTTTATTGCTCAGCGGCCTAAATAATCTCAAATTGACTGAAAACTGCATTTCTTTGTGAAAAACGGGACCTAGACTGTTCATAATCGCATATCAGTCCCATCTTTGCTATATTTTCTATTTATGTGGGCCAGTTATGAGATTATGGGTTGTAGAATCACGTAGAGTAGTGAAATGAAAAACATAACACAAGAATGTCTTCGGTAACATAGAAGGTCATAGTTTTGACAATGTGAACATGGATCAGGTATTATATTAGGGTACTTACCTAATATAGTTCATAACAATATTGAGGGACTATAATGTAATGTAAATTAATCCAGATTTTGATTTCATCAATAAGGATACAGCTATTATCATCTCTATAAAAACATGGTTTAAAACAAACGGTTTGAATTTAACCTTCAGTGCTTGCAAGAGATCAAGTTTTTGCTTCTTCATGTTCTCAGCTTTCAATTCATTGATCTTTCGCTTGTTTTCTCGCACTTACTGCAGAACTGCCTGACACTTCCGTTCACGAAGATCAGCTTTTTATTTCTTTGCTGCTTCTCTCTGCGCTACTTTTTCGGCCTTCAAAGCTTCTGTGCGCTGCTTGTCCTTCTTTTTCTGTTCAGCCTTTTTTTTTTATTTTTAGTTGTAATGCGTCTTCCTTTTCTTGGTCCAAACGGTGAATCTCGTTCAATCGTTCTTCTGCTGTCAGACTGTAATTTCGATGAAGTTTGCTTCGCTTAGGTGTTGGAGAAGTTTGCAGCAAATCTTCTAAATCATCAGTCTTCTTCTTTCAGTCTCTCTGTTTATTTGTACAATCCACGAACCAAGTAACCGTTCCAATACAAGACTGCATTTCATCCTCAAAGATGTTTTCTGCATTGGCGCAATCTTCTAACGGAATAACTTTATCGGTCTGAGAGTCCTCGTCATCCTCATTTGGATTATCATCACCATTTCCGGTGGTTTCATCACAATCGGTCAAACCAGATTGACTACAATAAGTTTTATCACTCGGTGTTAGAAGTGATATCTTTGGTTCCAGAAGTTTTATGTACAATAATCGTATGACTTCCTCTTCATCATCCAGCTTTTCTGGAGATTGGATCCTCTGTAAACGATCCATAACGATATCTTCTAGGGCTTCCTTGAGTGTGCTAATTGGAATCAACGCAAAATCATCAGATGTTAAGCGGTTCAGTTGACGATTCTGGCAGTTCAATTGTCGGGTGTGCTAAGCACTTTGAATAGTCCACATTATCTGGACCGAAAGGATAAAGGCCACAGATGCGAAAGCCATTGATGATACTGGATACTCGAATTCCTTGATCGATAACTTTTTGTAGAACTGAGGGAAAATGTTTTAAGCATAACATGTCCCCCCAATTTTCCATTCGCCATTCAGAAACAGCTGTCCTCCCAGGCATTTTTCAATGGCTTAAATATTGCCACGTCAACTGGCTATAAAGCGCCACAAGGATGACCCCTAAGTCCAAACACAAATCTGCCACCTCAACAGCTGTATGCGACGAATGTCCATCGATGAAGTAGAGTACGGGAAATTCAGTAGGTATGGATAAAATATTTTTCGGATATACAGCATGAAATTTTCGACGTTCATCCAACCATTTGGACTTTTTCTTACACCCCAATCTCCAGGAAACTGTTGTAGGATTTCTGGACGGATTCTTTGCACTGGCAGAACCACATCTGGAGGTACAACCGTCCCATCAGCTCCAAAACTGAACATAACTGATCGCATCACAGTGAATCCTGACCTAAAAATTGCAACCAGCAAGTGCCCTAGAACCAAAAGCGGTGCGATGCTATGACGATGACTGTAAGGGGCTTAGAAGCAGGTCATCTTTTGTGATGACCATGGCTTCCTATTTCGCACTATTTCTGCTATGCTCTTCTATCATCCACAACAACAAACGTATCAATGAATGTGCTTGCCATCGAGTTAACGTTATCTGACCGTGCACTTCGTAGTTGCTCCTCCGTGAATGATCAGAACTAATCCACTTGCACAGAGAACTACATAGATGGTGCATGGGATAAGCTTTCCATCTTTAATGTACAAGCACATTAATTCAATCTATAGATCAATTCACAGCGCCGGCCACGTCCTCACGGTCTTTTGGGGAAGGAAGGATGATTAGTTCGACGTCCGGTTGTTACTAGAGATACCTCTACATCTCCACGGCTGTCTGGGGAAGGATAGTTGTGTTAGTGCGGTAGGTTATTTTTAGATCAGGATTCACTGTGGTAAGTGATGCGATCGGTTAAAGCAGAATTTATTTTTATTTAAATCTAGTGGGGATAGAATCAGGCAGAATGAAAAATTGCAAGGAAGGGGACAGGCCTGGGATTGAACTTCCTACCTTCTGCTCAGTAAGCAGAAACGGTAACCACTGAACTATCGATCCTTGTCGTAATGCTACATCTACATGTTTCGTATAGGAATGATTTTCTGATGACTGTGTTGGGGAAGCAGTATATGCATGTACGTAATTGATGGATTTGTTAGTCAATTCGAAGTTTTTGGACAATGCTGGACATTAACCGCTTTTTCAATAGTTTCTTGTTGGAAATCAACATTGAAAAACATTGTTATCGATGCGTAGCCATATTTCTGATCGATTGGTGATGAAACTATTGAAATTGGACCAGGGGCAGCTGAGTTATTAACGTTCAAAATCTTTCACAATTTTGTTTCATGTTCCATTTTCGGTTTTCACAAAGTGTACCCCCATATAGAAATCACAGACGTTGTCCTACGTCAAAACAGCAATGTTTAGTTTTTTTTTTTTGCTCAATCGGTAGATTAAAGATGTACCGAGAACTTATTGGAGGGATTTATGGCTAATCGTGATGTTCCCAATCAACTACGAAATGTTGCATAACATTGTGACAAAAATGTGCACTCCGTTTTTGTGTGTGCATTTTTTAGCGTTTTGAAGTTGAATTGCTGTGGAAACCTTATTTCTGATCAAACTCATTACCACCTCATTCATGAGCACAAATATCAGCTCTCACAAAACTTATAATAAAGAAACTTGAACTTCACGTTTACTGCAGTGAAATGCCCAAGGAGTTCCAATTTCATGAGCGATGTCACGACCGTCGAAGAATTGTGCTCTAGAAATCTAAAGTAATAGGGAATATCAGCCATCATGACGGTTATTGTTGGACACTTCAATGAATCACCTGAAGAAAGCCCTACCTGCATATCTGATTGTAATTTAGGAACCAAATGTAATAGAATATGTATTTGCATTTTTATGAGGCCCTGAATTTAACCAAGTTTTACTAAGTAGGAAATTCAAACTATGTTTATATGACAGAAATCATAGGTTACTTCTATTGTATTTTCAATCAATATCTAGAAAAATGCACGAGAATTTCCCTACACAGCTTAACGTAGTCTACGTCAACCATGCGGTCGTGTCTTGTACACAACCCTACATTTTTTGCACGGAATCGGAGAGAATTTTGATCACCATTGCAACAGTTGGACATTTCTGTAATTTTCAATAGTGACCTATTGAAAAGTTAAAAACTGTTTATTTTAGTAGATTCGTGATCATAAATTATCAAAACCTTAGCACTTATCGTAACGCGTTCGTTTATGTTTTTTTTTTTTTTTTAATGAACCCGTATGTTGCTGAAAGACGTAATCCTACGTCAAAAAATGTCGAAAAGGAAACGAAATTATCGGCTGTCACTACCGAGTGAGACGTCTTTTCAGAGAATTGCTTTGCTTGAACTAAGTACTCTCGCTCTTTGCTTTAACTTTTCATTCTCAGTACGGGTGAACAGTGCCGGTTCTCTTCTCACAACAGCGATAATTTCGACCTCTAAGTTTTATGTTAATTAATGAACATTGTATTCGTCTTCAGGATACAATTTAACTACCCCATAATAAAGAAGTCTGCGCACGCCTGTGTGTATTTTAGAGCCCAGCTTTTATAAAAGGAGCGAAGCCAACAAAAAAACGAGCGTGTGGATAAAAATAAAGTCATTCTAGTAAAAATACTCACGATATTTTTTATTGTGGTTTTGAGAAATAAATTCTACAAAGTGATTAAGACTTAAATAACAAAAAACGTCCTTTTGTCAATATTTTTGATTTTTTTTTAAGCTTATGAACTATATGTTTTTAAACTCTAAAAATTGACAAAAATCGAAGAACAATAACCTTAGTCAAATTTTTGAACTTATTTTAGAGTAATATATTCTAACATATAATTTTTGAACAGGAAAAGATTTTAAAGGATTTAAATTTTGCTTCCTCTCAAACAAAAAGCGTAAATTTGTCCAAATGTTGTTGATATACGATTTTAGTAAATTTTAAAGTGTCCAAGATTAAACCACTATCGACCTATCTATCAATCAAAATTACCCAACACCAACCCTTCGCCTTCCACACCTTTCTGTTCCATTCGCAGCCCATACTGAGCAACCCGAAGCTGGTGGAGAAAAGCCTCGACTATGACTACATGAAACCGTGGCTCGGTAACGGTTTGCTCACATCCCGTGCAAACGTGTGGCACCCGCGGCGCAAGACCTTGACTCCGGCGTTCCATTTCAAAATCCTGCTGGATTTCGCCCACATCTTCCACAAGCAAGCCCTGGTGCTGAACGAGAAGCTGGCCGAACAGCTAGATAACTCCGTCGGGTTCGATATCGTACCGTACACCACTCTCTGCACGTTGGATATCTTTTGCGGTACGTAGTTGAAGATTGTCAATGCTATAAAAAAGGCTCTAAATTGATTGTAATTCTAGAAACCGCCATGGGTTGTTCAGTGAATGCCCAGAAAAATTCCGACTCCGAATACGTACGAGCTCACAAAGAGTAAATCATCGGCCATTCCGGCATTACTTCAAGTATTAAACAATCAATGTTTTTTTTATATTTTTTAGGATCGGCAAAATCATCCGCAATCGTTTGCAAAAGGTCTGGTTGCGACCGGACATCATTTTCAGACAAACGGAAGACTACCGGAAGCATCAGCAGTGTCTTCAGGTGCTTCATGATTTCTCCGATCGAGTGGTCCGCGAGCGGAAAGCAGAAATACTGGCCAAGCGCCGTGAGGCCGAAGAGAAAATCGATCTGAACAATAATAATAACGAACCGGAGGAACCGATCGAAGGCTGCCGCAAGAAGCAACTTGCCTTCCTGGACCTTCTCATTGAAGGTTCCCTGGACGGCAATGGCCTGACCGATTTGGACATTCGAGAAGAGGTGGACACCTTCGTCATCGGCGGACACGATACGACAGCTGCCGCCATGGCTTGGATCCTGCTACTGCTGGGATCGGACCAATCCATCCAGGATCGGGTATTCGATGAAATCGACGGTATCATGAACGGTGATCGCGACCGGAGACCCTCCATGCAGGAACTGAACGAAATGAAGTACCTCGAGTGTTGCATCAAGGAAGCTCTTCGACTGTATCCAAGCATTCCGCTGATTGGTCGCCGATTGACGGAGGACGTCCAGGTTGATGGCTACACCATTCCGTCGGGAACGACGACCTTGATCGTAGTATACCAGTTGCACCGGGATCCAACGGTCTTTCCCAATCCGGACAAGTACAATCCTGACAACTTCCTGCCGGAAAACTGCAGCGGACGGCATCCGTACGCTTACATTCCATTCAGCGCAGGTCCACGAAACTGTATCGGACAAAAGTTCGCTATTCTAGAGGAGAAAACGGTCATATCGACCGTCCTTCGGAAATTCCGCATCGAGGCTGTAGAACGACGGGAAGATGTCAAACTGCTGGGGGATCTGGTGCTGAGACCGCGGGATGGACTTAAAATTAAAATCAGCCGAAGGTTGTAGATCCAGACAAAGATTCCCCACCTGTTAGTTTTAAGTACAACAGAATCGATTGTAAGAACGATACCAAGCAAACGCAAACCAATCAATGTCGACCGTAATAAAATGTATTTTATATTCATTCATAAAATTGTTTGAACTTGCCCCTTGTGTGCATTCGATACACCCAGGTAAGTCTTTTGAAATGAGGGAGCATCGATAACGAGTGTGAAGAGGTCAATTGGTGTCGCATTTCTTGTGCAAGCATCGGTGCATTTCCTTATGGCGCGAAGGGTGTAGAAGCGCCATAAATTCCATGATTGAGTGCAAAATTTCTTCAGTTTCATTGGGAGGTATAGCTTTGTTTTGCCAGATCACTTTTGGATACCGTGCCGATCGGAATTGCGGACACTGGCTGTATAATCCGATTACTGGGGTTCCGTAAGACGGGGTAACTTTGATATTTTTTTGAAGTACCTATATTCTAAATATGTTTAACAGCAATTAATGATTTTCAAATTTAATTTTTTTAAACAAGTAGCAAGCATCTAAGAGTCAACTCGTTGGTAATTTGTTTAACATGAATTATTGCATTTGCACTGTGTTTTAGTCTTGTGACCAAAAATTTTGGGGTTACTTTGATAATGCTTAATGAATGTAGAACAACATGTGTGAAACTTAAACAATTTAATTTTTTCAACCTTTTGTTGTTTGACGTTTTGTGTTTCGACAATTTGTCCCACAACCGTTCATTTAACCATGCATAATTTTGATCTTTTGTCTATTCAACCTTTTCATTTCCAATATATTGTCAATACCTAGAATTCGTTCATTTTGACCTCCTGCTCGACCGTTTGACCGAACTTTTGTCCATTTAAAGTTGTATTCGAGGCTTAGACCTTTTGTCATTTCTACCATTTATCCATTCAGTATTTTGTCTCTTTAAGTTTCATTCGACCTAATGTCAAGATGATTATACGTCCGTTTTGTCCTCTTTTTAATTCGACCTTTTACGGTCATTTCGATGTTTTGTCATTTTCGACGAATTTCTATTTAAATTTTATTCGACATTTTGATCATCACTTTTTGTCTTTGTTGACCATATTTTGTCTCTTTATGTTTCATTTTACCTTAAGACAAGACAGGACTCTGGGGTCGACAATATTATAATAATTTTGCCCAATATGAAATTGATTATTTTGCTTTTGAGGATCGCTTCTGATTTTGACAATTTTGGGTTGGATAATCACAATGACGTTTATAGAAGGTCTGGGAGCAATTTGGTATTTGGTTGTGTTAGTAACGAAAAAAATGTTAACATCCCTGGGTAACCATGTGGTGACGTTACGTCAGTACAACGTTAGAGAGATTTTATGAACCATGAGATGTTTATGTGGAAAAAAGATCATTAAATTATGCTATCAATTAAAGTCAATTTATGTTTCGATTTTTGGTCTTCTTATCCCCTTTTGTATTAAACCTGGTATTAAATAGTTATTTGCGGGCTCGATATCAACTAGCAATTTTATACCTAGATCATAGCTTTTGTCGAGGGGATTTAATTTTGTGCAAAAACAAACACCAGTATTGTCTTTAAATTCATATTATGAGGTATTTGGCATATATAGTAATGGCATATAACATTACCAACATGTTACCATGATTGGTCAATATACTTTGCTAATGATGCAATTTTACAAAATGATTGTTATTTTCTAAAAAGGACTTCAATCTTGCCTCAGTTTGCCCTAGTTCTTTTGAGACAAACACTCACACACACAATTACCTTTGTAATAGAATCCATGATCCAAACGCCAGTTTCGATTTAGTTTTAGTAAGTGGGGTATGTTTGTAAAAAAGAAAACATCCTCTTTCGTAACAGGGTGCTTCATACTCGTCTGTTCTTTCGCGAAATCTATCCCAATTACCTTCCACAACGCGAGATTTCCACCGCCAAAATCGTACACATTCCCCACCACTTTAAACCCTATTTCGTGTAGTCGGGTAATTATATCGTTCAGGATCGGTAGGGTTACACGCTGCTGGAAATTGGAGTAAATTGGTTGCTTCCATTAGGAGAAGGGCCCACGTGCGGAAATGACTTGCATCTCCTTATGGGGACCTACCACCTCGTCGTTTCATTTGTCGCGCTCAATAGTGTTGCTCACTGACATTTCGTTGAAACCCAATACAACCACTCGCACGCGTTCAGTCATGTGTGTTCCAGTTAGCTTAAGGCCAGTTAATACATCCTCCAGTATTCCTTTCCTCATGTCAATGCAAGATCCCCACTCTCGTAGACTCCGAAGGCTTGGAAGAGGGATCCTAATGTCTCGGCGGACAATTTCATAGGCAGGCTGTTTGTGGTATCTGCAAATAGAGTAGAATCGTTCAAAACATTTGAGAAATTAATTCTATGCTTTGAACCAAGAGTGAATTTTCCAACTAATAACAAGGATTTATTTGCCAAGGCTATACTTTCCTATTATGGCATTTCTTACATATCCTAATAGGAACGTATAACCATGTCTGATAGATCTACCCTTTTATAATTATCTCTGAAAATATGTTTTAAAACACTTTCTTTTCTCAAAAAGCATGCCAAGGCAATTTCTTTAGATATCCACACCAGCTTTCTCTTATCTCCCAGTATTAAGTCTGTCTGGTTTGATGTGAAAACAGTGAGAAAAGCTGTCCGAATCTTGTTTTTAATAACGATTTCAGAAACGTCACTCATTTCGTAGAGTTTGGTTATCAGACTTTAAATCATCGCTTTGTTTTTGTTGTTCAGTTTCTTTGTTTGCGAATCTCTGCCCCGGAACTAAAATATAGAACTCAATTAATTAACAGTATATGTGTTTAAGTTGATAATAATTACCTGCATTTGTAAATCTCGAATCGTTTGTCGTTGGTGTTTGATGATGGTATTCAACCGACTTATCGATCCACGTTTGGTGTTAACTTTTTCATCACTTCGGCAAATCATCGCGAAAATGGCGTGGTATGGTGAACTGTTATTTGAGTTCTGACCTCAAAGTAGTGTCACAGAGTAGCTTAATGTTAAAATCCGAATCATTATTACATTCGTTTCCTCGAGTATTTAAACCCGCTGTTGATTGCAGGATTGAAATTCATTATGTCAATCGATTCCTGATCCTAGCCTTCGTGAATGTTGGATGTATCGATGTCAGCTGCTGGCCTGCTCTATGTATGATGAACTTCGGAGGACGCTGATCCTTCAATGTTGTTTCTTCGATGGCGATGTGATAACTGTTCACCGAACACGACACCATTTTACAGAAGATAACCTCAGATAAAAACGTAATATTAACTCGACAATTATTATCACTTAAACGGCTTCACATCTCGCATAGCAAGTTATTGACAATAACAGACGTAACGTCACCACTTTTCACATCGTTCTTAGCAAGCATGAACAACACGATGCCACACGACTACTTTTTTGAATGTTGTCATTGCACAAATACCATTGCATCATCTCCTCCCCACCTTTAATACCGCACATAGGAATAATCAAGGTTCACTCGTTTATTCATTTCCCTCGTACGTTTTCAAAACAAACGCAATTCATCTACACTGGGTTGAAGCGCTACTACTTGCGTGGTAAATGATAAAAACAGACACTAATTTCTATATATTGTCATTTTCTTCTATTTGTCCATTTCGACGTTTTGTCCATTTCAATTAAATTCGACATTTTGATCATTGGACCAATTGTCCATGATGACCATATTTTGCTCATTTAAGATAAATTTCTTCTAAAGACTATTTGATCAATTGCCCCTTTGACTCCTTTCTATTCGACATTTGGTCCATTCGCCCCGTTGGCCATTACAATCATTTCATAATTTTGAAGTTTTCGGCCATTTGTCACTTTGAATTTCATTCGTTGTTTTCGCCATTCAGCCTGTTGTCCTTTTAAAATGTTGGTCCATTACTGCCTTTTGAACATTGCAACCATTTATCCTAATCGATCATTCCATCTGAAACCATTTGTCCATTTTGATCTTTTGTCCCTTTAGCTTGAATTCGATGTTTTATTCATAAGACCTTCGTCATTTCAACCATTTGTCCGCATTCAATCTTTTGTCTGTGTAAGTTCTATTTGACATAATATCTATTTGGTTTGCCCCTTTGCACAGTGGTCCAGAAATGAAATTTAGACGACAAAACGAATAACTCTTAAACGAAGCATTTGCGAGGCTTGACGTCTTATATATAACAAAAACCATCTAATGGCATCCACTCATCCGCATAGACGACGTAAAAATCTATCTTTATAACACTGACATTGTGATGTCTTGAAAAAAGTTGATTATCTTGAAAACATAAACAACTCTTCTGAATACACCAAAGTTCCACAGCCTACTGTTTCTGAGTTATTTGAAAAACGAAAACAATAAAGGTGAAACAATTTGGGATGGTGATAAAACTGTACACTGGAGTCGCTTTTTACGCGGGTGATACGTCCCGCGTAAAAAAAAACGCGTAAAAAAAAACCGCGTAAATTCCGGAATCCGCGTAAAAAAAACCGCGTAAATTCCGAAATCCGCGTAAAAAAAACCGAGTAAAAAAAGACCGTGTAAGAAAAAACGCGTAAAAAGCGATATACCGCGTAAATTCTGAAATCCGCGTAAAAAAAACCAAAATCCGCGTAAAAAAAAACCGCGTAAATTCCGAAATCCGCGTAAAAAAAACCGCGTAAAAAAAAACCGTGTAAAAAAAAACCGCGTAAAAAGCGACTCCAGTGTATTTGTTTCTGTTTTCTGTATTTTCATTCCATGCAGGATAATATTTTTTCTGATGCAAATGCACATAATACTTTTTCTAAGGTTTAAGCTAGATTTAATTAAACATATTTGAGAATATGTTAAACCACTTTTAAGCTTACGTTTAGTTAACATTATTCTACTACTCCGTTAGCTGATATTTGCAGAAACATTCAGTATTAATTTGAATGGTAGAGTCCTGGCTACCTTCCTGGATTGAATTCAGGTTTAATAGTTGGGCATACCGTTACTTTTTGGTGGAACATGAT